GTCATTTTTTAAAATGAATGATGGTATTTTGGGAATTAAATTATTAAATGTTCATCTCTGCTTCTTTTGAAAGCAGCTTTGAAAAGCAACCCAGAGCCTGCTTTTAAAAGCTGCTGTCAAAAGGCCATTGCTTTTAAAATAATCGGGATATTTTCTTTTTACCAAACACCTTAAACTGCTTAACTTTAAAGTGAAGCAGGTTTTTGGCGAAAAAAAGCAATTCCAAACGGGGCCTCTATTGGATGAATTGATGTACTTTTCATTTGCCCAAAAAATTCTACTACAATATTTCAACTTTGGCATTGGACTAATGGAATAACAAAATCTCATAATATGCTTTCATGCCAAATGGTTCTTGAACAAAACCCACTCAGCATTCAGTACCTAACTAAAGAACGAAAGCGGGATAACAGAATTTTATGGGGTTACTCAAGCTTAAGCTTCATTCCGACAAACTTTATTCTGTGAATTCAAAATTGCTTTTGCGTATCATCTATGACCACATTCTAACCAACTTTCTTCTCTGAATTCAAAACTACTTGTGCATGTTATCCATGACTGCAGCAACATACGGCTAGCTACAGCAGCACTAGATATCCTCATTTTACTCGATAAGTATGGTCTGTTCCTGATTAGTGATTTCCATGTCCAATGCACATTTAGCCAAAAGAATTTCCCAGTATCTAAGAATCCTCTAGCGTTTCTCCCAAAATCATCTCACCTTTTTCTTTTCAATTTGAGATCAGCCTCTACTATGGTGTATAGCAGTTTGAATTCCAGATACTAATGTACAAAATATTTCTATATCAGCTTCTAATATGTCAAATACTAAATTTTTACTGCATGTACAAGTCAGAAATCTTGAAGACATGTAGTTGGTAGATGAAAATGAAAAAGGAACTTACCTTCTCCGTAAGGTACTTAAATGCCACTTTCTTCTGTCCCGCTTCATATATATTGCATTCAGAGAATATCTGGAGTGGAAACATAATGATAACATATTAACCTCGTGTATGATAAAATCCTTGGAAAACTTTAAAGAGTATTTAAGCAAAATATAATAGCCATTGGTAGTGGCATTATCACCTGCGATTCTACACTGGCACAAACAGCATATATGCCCCAGTTTCGGGTGTAATTGTTATATAGATGAACTTTCGCAAATCTGACACGAGGATGCCGCTGTCGGGTCCCATCGAAAAAACAGTGGTGAATGGTAACCCGGATGCATCTGTCATCAATATGAGAGGGGTCTGATCCAATTAGCATTGTCTTATCATGCTGTGAAAAATGGCACCTGCATAATGGTTAAACAAAGAACTTAAATACTACAAAAGTAGAAAGGGTGAAATTCCAAGTTGGGGAGATTCACCTCACCTCGAAATTGTAATATCTGTGCTTCCCCTGGTGATATCTATGAGCCCGTCATCATAATCACGAAGGCTGCACCGATCTATCCATATGTGCTTGGAATTGGGTTTTATTTGAATGCCATCAACATCTGGCCCTCTACCACCTTCAAACTCTAAATTGCATACAATCACATGCTCACATTCCTTCAGCCTCAACCCCTTCCCTGTAAGTTTAATCCTCTGACTCCGGCCATCTATAGTCTTATACGATGACACATTCAAGTAAGATGACAGAAGGATAGTGCCTGAAATTTCAAAGACAATCCAAAGTGGTTCTTTCCTACGACATCCGTCCCTAAGTGACCCAGGACCATCATCTACAATCAAATAAAGAACAATAACAAAAATTTAACCTTCCAAAAAGCAATGAATATGGTTCATTGTTCAAGCTTCACAATAACTCTACACTATCCATCTCAGATGAAGATCTCAACAGACGTCATTAAATTATAGACAAATTAACTACAAATTCAATCATGGGTACACAAGCATTTAAATTGACAAATCCTTTGGAAAATTTGCTCCAACTTAATCAGCTAAATCATTTCCACTATTCCAAGCTCCATAAGCAAGTTTACTTCACAAGATTCCACACGAAACACTAAAACTACCAATTAAACAAGAAAAACACACACAAACAAGCAAAACCCAAAGCAAACACATTTACAAAGCGGATGGCAGCAACTGAAACTACGATTAAGCAAGAACACACATTTAGTTTGGAATTCGATCAAAAAGCGTACCAGCTAGAGTGGTGACGTGGTAAAGGGCACCGCGGAGGCCACCAATTGCGAGGCGGCCGAAGCCTTCGGCCTGGGCAGCGAGGGCTCGCAAGCTCGCGTCGACATGAGCGTACGGCAAGGCCACCATGCTGGTGTTCTTAGCTGACGAGCTCGGGATTTGGGCTGATTGATCCGACGGACCATATTTAAAGCCCGAATTGTCCGTTCTACTGGAGACGGGGCCGTTACGGCGTTTACGGTGGCCGTGGGAGTTGCCCATTTATGGCAAAAAACGTTGCCGTTTAGAGTGTCTGATTATGGCGGAATTAAAACGGAAAAAAACTCGTCTTGTGAGCTGTACCAGTGAAGTGAAAACAGACTCCCATTTATTGTAGCTGGAGATGGAGATTGCCTCGCTGTTCGTTTTATTCTTTGAGTCGGTTATGTTAAAGCGTTCGTTTTGTCGGAGAAGAGATGGCCTCGCTGTTCGTTTTATTCTTTGAGTCGGTTATGTTAAAGCGTTCGTTTTGTCGGAGAAGAGTTACTATCCGAGTATAACCCGACCCGAATTCACCCTATTCGGGTTGCCTCCACAGTTGATTGACCGACACATTTTGAAAGATGATATTAGAGCATCTCCGACCGATATGTCAAAAGTGCCACATAGACATTTAACAGCTAGAAATAACATCTCACACACTCCAACCGATGTGTCAAAGCTGATGTGGAATGAAGGCTGAAGATTGAGATGTTATTTTTGACATCCCAAAAGCAAGATGTCAAATGAATATTTTATTATTTTTTCTTTTCTATTCTTTTTAATTAAAAATAAATCAACACTAAAATGTAATAAAATAATAATTTAATTTGACATATCGGGTGGAGTATAAAGTTATGTAAGATGTCAAATTGCCACATCAGCCATCAAATTTAAATTTGATGTTTGGTATTTGACATCTCCCTTGGAGATGCTCTTAGTGGTCACCAATTCATTAGGTCTATTTCGTCCTTATTTTTGTTTGTCTAATTAAAAATAGAGAATTTAGTGCAAAATATAACTTCTTGTTACTAAAACTAAAGATGGTTTGCAAATTGTGATCTTTTTTGCATACCTGAATATAATATACAAGTTTCCTAATTGTTTTTAAACAAACACATCCCTCCTCTCATCAAGAGATATACAAATTACATTTCGCCGTCATTTATTTGCCAAAACCTTTCTTTTGTGCCGTAACAAAGTCTTGTTGTATCTCCACTACTTTTTCCATGACAACTATCGTTATTAGTAACTTTTAAGTTCTCTTTATATCAAAGTAGCTTAAAAATAATTTCGATAAAAATTTCTTTAAAAATCAAGCTCTCGTATTAGACCTAAGAATGTAGATTAGGTTTAAACAAATTTATCAATCCTAAATTATTAGGGCTTCCAATTGGTTGAACTAATACTAATTTGGTTAGGATTTTTAAATTTCCATCCACGTAGAAAATCTTAATAATAGAAGGGTTGTAATGCATAGTTTAAAGCTGACTTTACTCAAATTATAAGTTGAGAACAAACTAAAATTGAGAGAAGGCGGTTAAATTGGCGGTGAAAATGAATAAATCATCATAAATTCAGAATTACAACAAAACCAAAAAAAAAAAGGAAAGAATTTGTTACATAATATTTTATGGTTCATGGTGTTCGGTGTGGCTCGACCCGGTGGCCCGTGGTCTCAAAATGGCAGGGCCCGGCTGGCATCAAATTAACGGCCTCATTCTTTTATTATTTATTATTTTTATTTTGAATGTGAACCTCATTTTTAAAAAAATAATAAATAAAACCCCAAAACTCCCCCCAAATAGTTTCTCCGTCATTGGCCACCCGCGCCACCCGCCACCTCCTCCCGCCCCACCCCCCCAACAACTCCACCTGCCTTCAAAACCCTAATCACACACAGTCTTCATTTCCCCAATCAAATTCATCACAATTTTTTTATTATAAAATTTTAATTTTTAATATAAAAAAATGAACATATAAACGCTCGCTTTTCACAATGCATATCCGTTTGCGAATCGGACATGATTCAGGTACTATCTCTCTCCCTCTTTCTCTTTGCATGTTCGTGTGAGTTTGGCTGCTGAGAATGGTCAGGAACATGGAAGAGAATGGGAAGAGGAATTGGGTTTTCCCTGATCCCTCATTTTCGTTTCTCATTCGGTTAATTTCGCGGGAAAATTGGAAGATTTTTTCTTTTTCTTTTTTCTGAATGTGTGTGTGGTTTTTGTTATATATTCATAGAGTATTTGATGCAATGTGTTGGTTAATTATTTATTTTGATGGAAATGAATATCCCTACATGACCGAGGAGGGCATTTCGTTGAAGAATCAGGTCGGGTTTGATGCGTTGCATATTGCTGCAAATCAAGGGCAAAAAGGTAATCATAAGTCAAATAGTTTCAGCCAAACTTTGTAATGTTGTTGTTGCTGTTGATTCAGTTAAGGGTTGAAATGGAATGCATTATTGTAATTTTCAGACCTCATCTGGAAAGTTTAAGGGGTAGGTAACCAGAATTGATGTTAATGTTCATCGCTGGTCAAACAAAAGACCACAGCTGTTTTGCATTCTCAGTGGATTATTTGAGTCTATATCTTGTTCTGGTGCTTAACTATTGATACTGTAGGCAAACATGATAGATAATTAATCCTCACTAGAGTCGGAATAGTGTTGTGTTGTGTCCATTTCAGGCATGGCTCCTTTTGAGAAGTTCATTTCCTGTTTCATTCTAATTCATCCAGTGTGGGCCTTTTCTGCTCCTTTATTGATGATTATTCATAATCAAGTCTTGACACTGCTCGCTACTTGCTTGTCTTTTGGTTCTGCTTTCCAGTTTCTTTTGGTTTAACAGATAGTAAAATATTTAAATACCATGTCACCTCAGTTCAATAACTCGCTTTATGCAGCCATTGTCCAGGTGCTGTTAGACTATGACCCGGGGCTTAGCAAAACAGTTGGCCAGGCAAATGCTACCCCTCTTGTATCTGCAGCTACAAGAGGGCATACAGCAGTCGTCAAAGAATTACTATCAAAAGATCCTAGTTTGCTGGATGTTTCTAAATCCAATGGGAAGAATGCATTGCATCTTGCTGCACGGCAGGGGCATGTAGATATTGTGAAAACTTTGCTTGATAGGGGTCCACAACTAGCAAGAAGAACGGATAAGAAAGGACAGACTGCTTTGCATATGGCCGTAAAAGGTGTCAGCAGTAAAGTGGTGAGGTTGATTGTCGAAACGGATCCAGCTATTGTCATGCTTCCAGACAAGTTCGGCAATACGGCATTACATGTGGCCACCAGGAAAAAGCGAGTAGAGGTATGTATTTCAACTTTTGGATCTTCACATTTTAATACTTTTAATATATTCTTGTTCTATGATGGGATGCTACTGACTTTATTCAGTTTTTCCCTTTTACAAGTTCTGGCCATATGCACATTAGGTTTGGATTCCTTAAGAGTCTAAGACCTTGTTTTGCCAATAAGTTTTGGATTGATCTTTAATTAACTTGGGTTGAGCTTGGTTTACATCTTTAGTAATTCAATTTCTCATCACGCTTGCAGATAGTCAATGAACTGTTACTCGTTCGTGACACAAATGTGAATGCTCTAACAAGAGACCATAAAACATCCCTTGATATAGCTGAAGGACTTCCTTACTCTGAAGAAATCACAACAATTAAGGAAAACTTGACTCAATACGGTGCTGTCCGAGCAAATGAACTTAACCAGCCAAGGGATGAGCTTAGAAACACTGTGACAGAGATAAAAAAGGATGTCCATACTCAGCTTGAACAAGCTCGCAAAACCAACCAGAGTGTTAGTGGAATTGCCAAGGAGCTCCGTAAGCTACACAGGGAAGGAATCAATAATGCCACTAACTCAGTCACAGTGGTTGCTTCACTCTTTGCAACAGTAGCATTTGCAGCTATATTTACACTTCCTGGTGGCGATTTAGACTCTGGGGAGGCTGTGGTGTCGTTCCGTGTATCCTTCAAAATCTTCTTCATTTTTAATGCTCTTTCGCTCTTCACATCATTGGCTGTTGTTTTGGTACAAATCACCCTCGTCAGAGGGGAAACAAAGACGGAGAGGAGGGTTGTGGAAGTGATCAATAAGTTGATGTGGCTGGCCTCTGTCTGCACTACAGTAGCATTTATTTCTTCAGCATATATAGTGGTTGGCCGGCGTAATATATGGGCTGCAATCCTTGTCACAGTTATAGGGGGAGTTATAATGGCAGGAGTTCTTGGTACCATGACATATTATGTGGTGAAGTCCAAAAAGTTTCGTAGAGTGAGGAAGAGAGAGAAGATGTCGAGGACTGGAACCATCTATTCCTCGCGTCACTCAGAGTCTGATTCAGAAATTAACCGTATATATGCCCTGTGATGATAGTCTAGTTTGGAACTAGCCTCTGGTTCTGTCTGTCTTTAACATGAAGAAGAAAATCAATACAAGAGTAGTTGGTTCATAAGAGGTTCTAACCTATACATACGAAATTCAGGGACCCTAGTAATAGCATCAATGAGTGGACTTTTTTGAAAATGAAGTTTTGGGTGTCTCGAGGAGTACAAAGTTTTGCAGCAAAACTATTCATATCCTTAACCTTCAAAGGCAGAAAGTGAGAAATATCATTTGTATACTATACGGTGTACACATGGTATCAGTCTTCATTTGTAACTTATATAGGTTTCGTCACTGGTGATATGCTATTCGAATTATAGCATAGATAGTGACTTGTTGATTAGTTGATCAAAATTTTGAATGTGACTTTACTCGACATTATTTGTCTGAAAAATGTGAGTGTATCTGATAAGTGAATGAAATCTGAAGCATTACATGTTGTGCATACAATCAGATGGCTGAAAAAAGAATGTATTACGTGGATGTTGCTTGAACTTATAAAAAAGTTGAGTTTGCTCCAAGGGAATGTCTCTGGTACAGGTTTCCATTTCTACTTTTCCCTCATCGCATGTTTCTTTTACTCGTGAAGTTTCTATTACGAAATTTCCTTCTACGAGTGAGGCATCAGTTACAAATCCCATGATGGTGTTTAACAAACCAAAAGCTTTAAGGAGAAACACTGGAAGATAGTTTTGCGTCACACTGACTGTTGAGGTTCTCGTCCATGCAGATCAGGGAGGACATACTCCAATTAGAGGATCCAAGATGTTGACAATGTTTCTACAGAAGGTAACCTTTTCCTTCATCTCTCTGCATATTTTCAGGTCAACTTTGATAGCACTTATCACATTATTGACTATTGGATGATTCCGTAAAAACAAAAGGTATCCGATTTGCACAATGTTCAAGAGACCCGAGGCTCCTAAGCATTGTATACTCATATTTGATCCAAATATAATGGCAGTGATTAGTTAAATTCAGTCACGAATAGCGAATTTGCAAGATTTGGCAACTTTAGGAGTTGATTAGTTGAACACGCTATATGATTCTCTTTCTTACGTTCTCCTGAGATTGAGCCTATTAGGAAAGCTTGTACATTTTCAAAAAAAGGTTGCTCATTTCCATCTTTCTGCTTTATCAGGATAAAAGAACTTTTGCTTTGGTGCAACCAATTTGGTGGATGGTGATCCCATAGCTTGAGTGGCATCTTTTCATACACTGTTTGAAGCACTTTTTACATCCTCCACTTATTTGTTAGCTGAAGCTGGAAGTCAAGTCAAGGCATGTTTTTCTTCCTCTAATTGGTGTCTGTTTGTCAGTGTGAAAATGTTAGCTGGCTCTCCATATGGCACAGGTGTTAAGTTTCTGAAAACTTCTGTGCTCTGAGAGAAACAAAATCCATGTTTAACGAAAAAACAAAGCAGATATTGATGTCAAGAAATCAACATCATGGTTGAGAGATTAGCCATTATTTTTATATTTTCATTGTCCGCTAATTAAGATATTGTGATTGGTGGGGATGAAAAAATGTTGGGTGCTTCCCTTCAGTGTTCTTTTTAGTTGAATTATTATTGTCTGCTTTTCCTAGAAGTCAATTATGGTTCCTTCATATCATAAGTCGTTAGAAAGACCCAGGTGCTTCATATGGTCTACAGGAGGTCTCTCTGTGTGACGGCGGCCACTATGGCAAGTGAGCTACTCGGTTCCACACTTGTTCCCTGCAAAATAAATTGGGTTCCCTTTGGGGAAATTTTCCTCTGACAGAAGTATCTAAAGATGCTTTCTAGGTTGGAAAAGTGTTTGAACACTTGACCTTGCAATAAAATATTGTTGTGATTCTAACGAAAATGCTTGGCACAAAAAGCGCTTATGAGCTAAGGAAAAGTTTCTTAACGACTCACGAGTAACCTACTATTAGGTGCTTTTCCAATAAGTGTTTCTGTAACTCGTATAACACATTTGTCCATTTCGATCAAACGTCGAGAAAAATGTATTTGGTGCGGAGAAGAAATGGCCCAAAAATTCGCAAGTACAAGTAGCAATTTTGTTTTCATGGGCTATTGGTGGATGCATCTCGACCGACCGCGGAAATTGAAATATGCGTGAAACACTGAAGC